GTATTGAAATGATAATGATATCGTTATTATCAAAATCACAAATAAAGTAACGATATTCATATCGTTTTAGTACAAATTTGACGAGTTTGAAATAGTTCCAATTCAAATTACAAGTATAACGACGTAGATATCGTTTCTTTTCATATAAAATGATAATTATATCGTTCTATCTAAAAATAACAATTCGACTGTCCACAACCACCCGTCATGCCTTCAACATACGTAGGACGATCGAAAGATGTCATCAAGTGTGTTGATACCACTCGAATGACTGCAAACAAAAATACTTTCTATCGGAATATTTTGAAGGTGATATATAATCATGAGAGCAAAAAATGTTCTCATAGTTTCTTTTGAAGAGATCTAATCCACTTGATTACTTATTTTAATCATCCTGCATATGTCAGATGCATGTTTGGTGGTCGTGGATGGTCAAATCGTTATATTTAGCAGAAATGATATAATTGTCGTTTTATTTTAATTGAAACGATATGTATGTAGTTTTAGTTATGATTTAAGCTAAAACGATATCAACGTCGCCAAACTTGTATTGAAACGATAATGATGTCATTATGTATCAAACTCACGAATAAAGTAACGACATTCATATCATTTTAGTACAAATTTGACAAGTTTAAATCGTTCCAGTTCAAATAATGATTATAACGACATAGATATCGTTTCTTTTCATATAAAACATTAATTATATCGTTTTGACTGAAAATAACAATTTGATCGTCCACAACCACTCAACACGTCTTTAACATACCAAGTACGATCGAAAGAAGTCATCAAGTGGGTTGATACCACTCGAATGACTTAAAGAGTGAACGAAGATACTTCTTTCTGTCAAAATAATTTGAATGTTGTATACAATTGTGGAAACATAAATATTCCCATAGTTTCTTCTGAGTGAGATCAAACCCACTTGATTATCAATTTTGAGCATCCTACGTATGTCAGATGCATGCCTGGTGGTGGTGGACGGTCAAATCGTTGTTTTTAGCATAAACGATATAATTATCGTTTTATTTTAACTGTAACGATATGTATGTAGTTTTAGTTATGATTTAAACTAAAACGATATAAACATCGTCAAACTTGTATTGAAATGATAATGATGTCGTTATGTATCAAACTCGCAAATAAAGTAACAACATTCATATCGTTTTAGTACAAATTTGACGAGTTTGAAATTGTTCCAATTCAAATAATGATTATAACGACATAGATATCGTTTCTTTTCATATAAAACGTTAATTATATCGTTTTGACTGAAAATAATGATTTGACCGTCCACAACCATTCAACACGTCTTTAACATACCTAGGACGATCGAAAGAAGTCATCAAGTGGATTGATGACATTCAAATGGTTTAGAGAGAACGAACGAAGATACTTCTTCCTGTCGAAATATTTCGAATGTTGTATACAATCGTGGAAATGGAAATATATTCCATAATTTCTTTTGAGTGAGATCAAACTCATTTGATTATCTATTTTGAGCATCCTACATATATCAGATGCATGTCTGGTGGTTGTGGACGGTCGAATCATTGTTTTTAGCAGAAACGATATAATTGTCGTTTTATTTTAATAGAAACGATATATATGTAGTTTTAGTTATAATTTAAGTTAAAACGATATAAACGTCGTCAAACTTGTATTGAAACGATAATAATATCGTTATGTATCAGACTTACAAATAAAATAACGACATTCATATCGTTTTAATACAAATTTGACGAGTTTGAAATTGTTCCAATTCAAATAATAACTATAACGATATAGATATTATTTCTTTTCATATAAAATGTTAATTATAACCTTTTGACTAAAACTAACGATTCGACTGTCCACAACCGCTCAACACGTCTTTAACATACCTAAGACGGTCGAAAGAGGTCATCAAGTAGATTGATGACATTCAAATGACTTAGAAATAACGATCGAAGATACTTGTTCCTATATGAATAGTTCGGATGTTGTATACAATCGTGGGAATAGAAATATTTCCATAGTTTCTTTTGAATGAGATTAAATCCACTTGTTGACATATTTCAATCGTCCCATATATGTCGAATACATGTTGCGTGGTCGTGGATCGTTGAATCGTTGTTTTTAGCAGAAACGATATATATGATTTAAACTGAAACGATATCAATGTTGTCAAAATTATATTGAAACGATAATTATATCGTTATGTAGCAAACCACGAAATAACATACCAATGTCCATATTGTTTTAGTACAAATTTGACGTGTTTGAAATCGTTCAAATTTGAATAATAACTACAATAATATAGATATATAATGATATCAATATCATTACCACTCGAGAGCAAATGGTCCCTTGGAAGCGAGCGCAACAGTTCCCTATGTCGTGTGCGCTATGTAAGTTTTTTATATAACGATATCCATGTCATATTACTGGTCTATAATGACTTCAATGTCATTATGAAAATCAATAAAGTGGCATATTTTTATACGAGAACAACATTAATTTCGTTTTGTATTTCAGGAACGATTTCAATATTTTTATGTAAATTAGTGCAATTTTCATATTGAAACGACATACGCATCAACTATAACGATATAAAAGTCGTTTGTCTGTAATGTGAAAAAAAAAAATAACACCGTAAAAAGACTTTAACTTTGTTCTAATAGCATAAAAGCGAGAATAACACAATGACTACAAAATCTAATAAATCATTTTGTGCTTCCAATAAATACAAAATAATAAAATTACAAGTCATGACAATTATACAACTTTAAGTTTCACTACTAGCTGTTTGACATTTACAAGTAGAGCGAACATGATTAGTTTTCTTACAGTTGGAGCTTTAGACATTGTAGGAACAAAAGTTGACATCTCTATTTGGTATAGCTTTGTATCGACCTTCAACATCTCTCTAACTTTATACAAACTTACACAAAAAATTATTTTTCAAACAAGAATGATCGATGTTTTCCCTTTGCCATTTATTGCATTTTTCATTTCAAGCGCTTTCAACTGACTGCTCATATTCAGTTAGAAAACAAATTGAATCCATAACATATCCATGATGGCCATAACTACAATTAACATAAGAATTGTAAATTTTTTTTATCAAATATCAAACTTTGTACATTATTGATAACGAGACGTATGTCGTTATGGTTTTTAGAAAACGATATGTAAGTCGTTCTGGACGGAAAAAATGAAATATATGTTTTATAGTAAAACAACAAATAGAATAGCCAAACATGTGTTTATCAGCATATTCACTTAAAAAATAAGAGTTAATGAGAAAATGGGAAAGCAACCCATATCAAATCTATAATTCGATGATAAAATAAAAAATAAAAAAAACCATTACTAACAAATGAACACCATAAACAAGAATCACAACATGTGATTTAGAAAAATTTAACAAGACAGTAGCCAAAATACTGAAATTTAACATTACCTTCTCTTTTTCTTCAAATACCCATCAAGAATACTATAAACTTTGATTACTTACTTCAACCAAGTGAATATTTAAGAGAATGATAATATTATATTTTGGAGTTTCATGAAGAAGAAAATGAAAATAAAAAAGAAGAAGAATAGCAGAGAATGGTCGATCCATCTGTGGAAGAAATGAAGCCAAAATTGAATTAGGGTTAAATGAAAATTGAAAGGGGAATTGGGGCTTTGTCTTTTACATATAAGGATATTTTAGTAATTTAAAAATTTGTATTTTCCTTTTCTTTGTATCCTAAGGCTATCTAAATAAAAAAGATAGTTCATTGTCTTTTTAAATAAATTTTTTGTTTGACTGGGCCTATTAAATGAATCCCCCAAAAATGATGATGACAAAGAAAGAAATTACATACTTTTACAACCGATTTTGAAGAGCAAATGGAAGGAAGGTAGAATTTAATTAGGGTCAAATGGAAATTGAAATGGGAATTAGGGCAGCAATTGTCTTTTTTGTATGTAAGGTCATTTTAGTCATTTACGAATTATATTTTTCATTTTCCATATCTTTAGGCCTTTTACCCAAAAAACTTAATTTGTGGACTTTTTAAACTAATGTTTTGTTTGACTAGGCTTTTTAAATGAAATCCCCTTTATTTAATCGGGCTTTTTCTAGTTTCTACATCAATTTTCTTCATTCGAATAATTATAATTTAATTCAATTTTAATCGGTAGCTCCATTTAATTCGACTAACAAAAAACGATGAAATGATAGTCCAACATTTATTTCATTAAAAAATTGTATATATTACATATTAAAATGTAAAAACTAACTATTACTTATAATGACAAAATAATATGCACAAAAATTGTAACCCGATTTCGAGCATTCATGTACAGCCCGAGGTTTTTACCCCGAGCATACATGTTCCCCAAAACCCTCATGAGGTCGGGCCAAGCAACTCTTCCTAAATCGCCCAATATGAGGTCGGGCCACTTAGGTCGAGCCTATAGATTTAGATCGGGCCTCATTGTCCACTATAGGCCATGTGTCTGTTAACATAATTTCTGAGGAAAGGTAATCATGCTCTAACTATAATTCTTTGGATCCTTATCTTAATTGTCTAACATACTCCTTAAATCCAAACTCAAGTAGAACATTTTTAACAAAACTCAAACACCTAAACCTAGGAGGAAAGGACTCTAAGTAGTTGAATCCTCCTACAATTCTATCACCAACACCTATAAATACACGGCCAAAGCTCATTATTGAGGTATGCTTTTATAATACAATTGTATTATATACTTTTGCACAATCCCTCGTCTGACTTAAGCATCGGAGGGATGACGAGCACACACTTCATTGCCTTTGTTTCAGGTACTGGAAGGTGCAATTCGTGTTCTATCTCAATCTTTAAGCTCGAGATCCACCAGGTACGATTTTTGATAGCACCACTATAAATTTCCACTAATGCAATTGACCAAAATTGTCTTAATTGAAACTAAATTTAGTTGTTCGATCGAAATCAGTTAAAAAGTATAATTGATATCAAATTATATAAAATTGAAGGGATGCCAAAGTTAACCACTCAGGGAGGAAAAAGAAAAAGTAACTGGTAGAACAAACAAGACGTAAGAATACATATAAAAACATGCTTTGCGAATGAGAACGACTCATCAGGTACCACAAAATTACATGTAGTAACACTGACCCGATACGAAAAACAGTCAGGGAGTGGGGGGATGAATAAGAAACGCTAAGATCCTGAAAGAGGGATTGGCTTCACCGCGCTTCTGATTCGCCGGAATGCCATCTTAACTCGTTCCTTAAGACCGCCGTTCTCGCTTTCGACCTCGCCACTTTCTTTGTCTAGTTGAGCTACATTCCCATCCACATTGATCACCAGCTTCCCGTCTTCCCCATATTTAACGTCTCCAAACAAGGAAATAAGGAGTGCATATACGATTTTTTCAGCTTTCTTCGAGTCTTCTTCCTGGTTTACTACAGTTTCAGGATCAACCACCACCTTAGGCATCTCCCTACTGACATTTAAAACCAAAGCCACAATAGAGTCAGATACCATATCACTAATCGGATCCGCTGTCCAATGAAGTGAAAGATGATTTTCTGATTCCTGCTTCACTGTCACCCGATCATGCACTAGCAAAGTGGGAACCCCTGATTCCTCGTCCGTTGACGACTCCACACTTTCATATATCTGCTTAAGCCTGTATTTTATAACAGCAAGCGCTCCAGAGTAGGGGATAGTAATCCTTTGAATAATATTCCCAGTCAACAGCTGAGAGAAGACGTGAAGATCCTCAGGTGCCATAATCTGATAGGTGAAGCCCTTTTTAACAAGTAAACCACTAACAGTTTCACCAACTGTAGGCTTCTTTTCAGCCAGCTTTCCAATAGTTTTTGACATTTTCTGCGAGTTGAAGTACATTTCTACAGATTGGCAGTTCTTCGGGGTTATGATTTTGGTGTTGCCATCAGCAAAGACAGAAAGGAGCTTCTGTTTGAGCCTTCCCATCTCATTTGCTTCACCATGAACCAGAATGATATTGGGAGGCATCAGCTCTTTCAGGAAAGTGCTTGTTTGAGCATAGTCCGCATGAGCTGAAAAGGAAATATAATGGACCTGCATGTTCAGGGAGGCAGTCAAGCCATTCGTGAGAGTAACTTCTTTAGGTTCATTAATAATAGTCTTAGCCAATGTCCCTTCCACAACATACCCAGGTATGACACAAGCATTTTTCCTGTCTGAGCACCATTTATCAAACAGCTGTCTCGACAAACCACTCTGAAGCCCACCAGGGGTGGCCATAACCACACATGGGCCTGTGTCGTTAAATTCATCAATACTTTTCAATGGAAAGATGTGCTTGAAATCAAAGGGGTTTGTACTGGCAAATTGATTCCGGATCTTCTCATTCATGGCATTAGTGTAAGTTTGATAAACAGCCATGCACCTTTTTGCAAGTGGAGAAGCATAATATATAGGGACTTTGTGAAGATCAGGATGACTTGACCAGTATTCATCCAGGATCAGGAGAAGTTCTTGTGCACGGCCAAGGGCAAAAGCAGGAATTAGAACACGACCACCTTGGGTAACGGTAGAGTGAATGACATCAGTAAAGCGCTTCTCGCGTATATGCCTTGGCTCGTGGAGTTGAACGCCGTAAGTTGATTCAATAATGCAAACATCCGGCGAGAACTGGGGGAGCTCAGCAGCACGAAGGTGACGATCTTCTTCTCGCGAATAATCTCCAGTGTAGAGAACACGAACACCGGCAATGTCAACCATAAACATAGCAGCACCAAGGACATGACCAGCAGTATAACACCAAAAGCGGATACCATTAACTTCTAGAGTCTGATGAAAATCAATAACCTGTAATAAGGATTTAGTAAATGTCAGACAAATTCCAGACAGCTTAAGTTGTACAGTAATTAAAATGTCCAAATTTCAAACAGCTAGGCAAATGATAAATGCCCACACATGAAGGATCTCAAATACGACACCTCAATTTTATCCATGGACCGAAGAATGTCTTGTTCATCAAACAACATATCTTCAACTGAGACCTTGCTCACTTTAACATAATCTGATAAGAGCAGCTTGTAGATTGCTTTTGTTGCATGTGTCATAAAAACTCTCCCTTTGAATGTGGTCTGTTGAGCAAAAGAAGTGAAAATATCAGTAAAGAAAATTGCAAATTATGGCTGAAAGGAAATTCTTAATGAAGCAAACCAACCTTCTCCAGAAAATAGGGAAGGGAAGCAGCATGGTCCAAGTGAAAGCTGCACTCAGAAAGCAACTTATCAGAATAAAATAAGAAACAAATTCAGAGATTAAAAGAATCACAGATGTTGGAACGCAGCAGACTGAAAATTTAGAAACTCGTGATTATAACTTTGGATGTAAACAGAAAAGTTATAATTGCAGCTGAATATTTTAGGTTTACAAGTACAGAAAAAGTAGGGTCCAAGGTCGTATTACAAACACATCAAGGTTGACCTTTTAAGATGGAAATAAAATAAGCACTTTGGAGCATCAAAAAGTTAAACGACCAATCGATCAAAGATTGGTGTGCGTAAATGAACCATCATCTCGAGTCATGTTAAGGGTAAAATCTCACATCGATTAAAATGAAAATATTAACCAACATAAAAGGGCTTGAATTACTATTGTTAACAGGGCTAACTTTTTGAAATGGAACAGTGAGTCTCAATAGTTACAAAAGAAAAACTAGAAGGAAGAGCATACTGAGTAATAAGAAGAACATCAATGCATGAAGGATCGATTTCATCAAAGTAAGGCAATGCAGCCATTCCCGAGAAAGCTGGATGAATGCCGCAGTCAAACTAACATTAAAAAAAGAAAGAAATATAATTAGCAAATAAAAAGAAGAATTGAGACATCAAAGGAAAAACAAATAAAATAGCATAAATTCTATAATCATTGTACCATAACAATTTTCCCCTTGTAAGACATGTGAACACAAGATCGTCCCACTTCACTACCAGCCCCCAAAGGTGTTATTATAAGCTGATCCTCATCTCTCACTGCAGATCGTTTTAAGGATGATGCTGGTTGTCCTGTTGAAGCCATTGCACTTGACAACCAAATACCAAACTTCTTTTATCAAATTCTTAT